TTGAAGGAACACTTAAAAGGCAGCTTCCTTGAATTTATATCTTCACATTTCCAAATGTGACTCCAAATGAAATATTTATTAAAAAATGCTGTACATAACTTACATTGTTGATTTAAAGAATGGTATTTATGATCCCCCCAAACAACAGGAATTCCACATATTTCTGTTTTCTTCCAGGTTGTCATGGCCCTTTCCTAGATTCAGTATTTCCAGAAATTTACATCTCCATTGAATTATCGCCATTCTATTCATTAACATATTTATAATTAGTGTTGTGATTATTTATGATTGTCAAAACATGAGTACTATAATGAGGATGATGTGGGTCTTTAGCTTAGTATATTAAAGCACTGAGTCAAAGAACATAGATCTGGCTTAGGTTGAAGTTGTTGTTGTTCAGTCACTAAGTCACGTCCGACTCTTTGCAACCCCATGACCACAGTGCACCAGGTTCCCTGTCTCTCCCTGGACTTGCTCAAACTCACGGCTATTGAGTTGGTGATGCCATCCAACCATCTCATCTTCTGTCATCCCCTTCTCTTCCTGCCTTCAATCTTTCCCAGCCTCAAGGTCTTTTCCAGTGAGTCAGCTCTTCACATCAGGTGGCCAGAATATTGGAGCTGTAGCATCAGTCCTTCCAATGAATATTCAGGGTTGATTTCCTTTAGGATGGACTGGTTAGATCTCCTTGCTATCCAAGGGACTCATGAGAGTCCTCTCCAGCACCACAGTTCAAAAGCATCAATTCTTCAGTGCTCGGCCTTCTTCATGGTCCAACTCTCATGTCCATACACGACTACTAGAAAAACCATAACTTAGTCAGCAAAGTTGTCTCTTTAAACAAGATGTCTCTTTAAACAAGATGTCTCTTTAAAAAAGATGTCTCTGCATTTTAATATGCTGTCTAGGTTTGTCACAGCTTTCCTTCCAAGGAGCAAGCATCTTTTAATATCATGGCTGCAATCATTGTCTGCAGTGATTTTGGAGATCAAGAAAAATAGAATCTGTCACTATTTCCACTTTTTAACTATTTGCCATGAAGTGATGGGACCAGATGCCATGATCTTTATCTTTTGAATGTTGAGTTTTAAACAAACTTCTTCACTCTCTTCTTCCTCCCTTACCAAGAGGCTCTTCACTTTCTGCCATTAGAGTGGTATCATTTGTATATCTGAGATTCTTGATATTTCTCTTGGCAATCTTGATTCCAGCTTGTGATTCATCTAGCTCAGCATGTGTACTGGATTCTGAGTATACAGCTCAGTATGATGTACTCTGCATGTAAGTTAAATAAGCAGGATGATAATATACAACCGTGATGTACTCCATAGGTTGAAGTTAAATTCTGCCATTTTTAAATAATTTGACATTGCAAAACTAACTGTATTTTTTTTAGGAAGAGTCAGCATTTTATCATCTGCATGATAGAAATGATGTTATCTATCTCATAGGATAACTTTGTGGATTTAATGCCATGGAGAATATGAAACAATTTGGTGTAATATCTATCGGCAGCATATAGTAGGTGCATGGCAGTCATTCACTCACCCTTACTCAGGCATTTAAATGTAAGGTGAAGTATGAGAACCCCCTGTCAAAGTGGGCACTGGGAATGGACATTGTAAGAATCAGGAGCAGAATAAGCGAAGGCAGTGAAGCATGATGATTTATAGTGCACTCAGTCAGTACAGTCAGGGAGAGAATCTAGAGAACAGGGTGTTTTGAGGGTGGGAAGTGGAAAAGTTAAGTAGAAAAACTGAGTGTACAGAGGCTCCAGCTTGGAGACATTAAATTCAAGACTAAAGGGCCAGGCAGTCAGTAGGGAACTGCTGAATCTGTCACACTAGGGGCGTGCCACGGTCATAGGTGTATATGGGAAGATCACTCTGGTAACCAGAGTGGCGCTTAGGATGGAGGTGCAAGAGATACAGGAAACGGGAAGTCCAGTAGGAAGGTGGTTAGGGGCGTCCAAGTCAGAGAGCCGTGTTCAGACGACAGGTAGCAAGAGAGGATGGGTTTCCGAAGTAAAGTGTGCAAGGAGAGAAGGACTGGATCCCACCGCGGCCTGCAGAGAAGACAGAAGGATAGGACTGTCAGAAGAAGCGGAGGAATATGAAAACAAAGGAAGCTGGCCAGCCGAGGACATGGCAGCGATGGCGGTCTCTGTGGCCGAGGCGGTTGAGTCAGGTGCGGAGGAATGTAGGAAACGTCTCAGGCTTCTCAGGGACCTGATGTGGGAGGCGGTGCTTCACTTCAGTGTGGATCATGAGAGGAGGAGATGGGAGAGAGCGATAATGGTTTTATTCGGGATACTTTGAAAAGTCTATGGGATTTCCTAGGGATATAGATTATGTGGTTGAAAATAATAATATAAAACATGCAAGTTATGACACTTATTCCAGTGGTTTCTGGCTTTAAGAAGAAAAGTGTTTCTTTCCGGGTGTCCTGGGTCCTCTTTGCTGGGTGCTCTGGTTGCAGCGAGCGGGGGCTGCTCCTCTGGGGATGCTCCGGCTTCTCAGCGCAGAGCCCGGGCTCCGGGGCGCGCGGGCTTCAGTGGGTGTGGCTCCTGGCGCCAGCGCACAGGCGCAAGAGTTGTGGCTCATGGGATAGTTGCTCCGCAGCTTGTGGAGTCTTCTCAGGCCACAGGTCAAACTCAAGTCTCTTGCATTAGCAAGCCGATTCCCTCCCGCTGAGCCACTAGTTAAGCCCTAGACCACACAATTCTAAACTCCATATCACGAGGCACAGGTGAATGCCAGGGCATCCCGATGCACGGAAAGGGAAGGAAAGACGGAGCCCAGCTTCTTCGTGGGGTAGGGCTCCCGTTCTTCATTCCAGTATCACTGGTGGCTTGTGACTGTCTGATATTTGGACTGATGTTGAAAGTAGGTAACAAACACTTCACTAGAAGTTCTGCTATTTTTTTCCAGTTGGAGTTCATTGGAGTTTTCCATTGAGCTGAGCATTGAGTTAAGTATTTTAATACATGAAATCTTTACTTTGGCCAACCAGGATTCATAGAGTAAAATCAGGAGAAACAAACAAACAAGCAAAAAAAATCTTAATTCTTTTCTCATCCTGTTTAAACTTTCTTTTATCAGATTTCCTCTGATATTTGGATGAGAGTTAAGGCAGGTCCATTATTTTTCCAAATTATGTTCAGTGTTTTTTTCTACTCAGTTCTACTTCTCATATACAGTCTCAGTTCAGTAACTAAAGTTTCCATTTCAGTGTATTATAACAAATAAATCGAGTTTTATTTAAAATGGAAACTTTGCTTTCCTGCCAGTCTCTCTTCCTCCAACTCATGATTCTATCTTCTGCCCTCTGTCTTGTCAGCCTTGATCTTAGTTTCTTCAGACTGTGGGTTTTGGTCAAAGATGGAGAGATGAGGAGGTTGCAAGAGTCTTCCTTGCCTAGTACTTTTTCGACAGCTTAGCATCAGTTCTCTGAGGGCTCAGCAGGTGTTCGGTGCTAGCTTTTTGAACTTTCAGTGTTTGTGGGAGAATATCTGTAGCTTTCTTTCTTCCCTGAGATCTCTCACTGGCGATTCCTCTGATGAAGGAACATGCACATCTCTTCGGCTGCTTGCTAACCACTCATTCCTTGGACCCTTGATAAATGTCAGGGCAATTCCAGTTTCCTCTTGCTGATGTCACCTGGAAAAAAGAAAAAAGAAAAAAAAGCACAACCTTGAAACAAGAGTTATATTTTATTTGATGTACAAAATGATGACTTAAGCCTGCCTTGCAGCCTCTTAGCTCTGAGAGAGCACTCCAAAGAGATAAGAGAGGAGCCAGGATATATAAGAGTTTTTGTAACAAAGGTTGGGTGGTTGGAACTTCAAAAGATTCCTGTTAATTAAAAAAAAAAAAAAGCGAACATCTCAAGTTAATGAGTTTAACACTTCTCTGTGCATGGGAAGATGCAAGAGTCTGGGCTTGCTGAAATCATCCCTTTGACATGTGTCTTCAGCACCTAGGGCCAGTACTCAGTTCCCCTCCCATACTGAGTCCCTCTGGGGATACAGTCAGGGGTGGCTGCCGTGGTTGAGAACTTGGTTGAGGGCACCCTGTTTGTCTCTGATATTTCCGGTGTTTCCTCAGTTCTGACTATTGGTTGGAGGGCAGGGGAGCTATAGAGGCTTGATGGTTGAGCATCCTTTGTTTCCTGATAACGGCAGGCAGCATTTTCCATTCACACTGGCATGCCCTTTCCCTCCACTGTGGGGTCTGGGGCAGCCTCTCCTGGCCCCCCTCCTGTTGCATGTGGCCCACTCCCAATTGATGGGGGGCACATTCTTTTTACACAGGAGCTCAGCGTGTACTTTTATGTGCAGTCTCTACTCTGCCACCAGGTTTCAGCCCTCTCTTGAATTTCCCCCTGTAGAATTCTGTCTTTAGATTTCTGCAGTGTGAGACAGACACCCATCTGCCATACTCCTCCCAGCTCCTGGGACAGTTGTCATGTTCTTTGTGGGGTCTTGCTGAAGCTTGGGGTCCAGGGCTTCTCCCGATTCTCCCCTGGAGCTGTGTGGGGCGAGCAGGGGGATTCACCGAAGGTGGGCCGTTCTCCCTCCCACACCACCGGTGGCCCCAGCACCTCACTCTGTCATCCTGAGGGTGAGGAGTTAAGAATCTCCATAAGTACGTTTGGCTACCTTTTTTCTAAGTCCTGTATAGCAGTCATGCACTCTCTTTAGAATACAATAGCTATTATCTTGGTCTTGGTTCAAACCTAGACTAAAATAATTGTATTTGAAGTCCTCTTTAACTCTTATCTGAACCCTGCAAGGTAATCATCCTCCTATTACTGCCTGGATTTTACAGGTGAGGAAACCGGAGGTGACGGGCTTCATTCATGCGCTCAAGGTCACCCAGCTTTGTAGGTTTGTACTTCCTGGAGATGTCTCATCTGAGAGCGCCTCAGGTTGACCCAGGCTCAGGAGGCAGGCAGTGTGGGTGATCTCAGATCCGGTCGCCAGCCTCAGGGCCCCCAGGATGGGGGATGGAGCTGGCATTCCCTTCCATCCTCTGGCCCCGCGTGTGGGCACCAGCCCAGCAGCCCTGGCTGTAGAAGCTCCAGAGGAGGAGCTGGTGACGGTGCTGCTGGAAGGCCCTGCTCCCCCCGTCTGCCTCCGGCGTGTGTGCTCCTCAGACGTAAATAATTCAGAGGACGTGCTCTGCGCGGGATGAGCTGTTCGCTCAGCGACACCGTGGGCTTGTATATAGCAGGGCTGAGTCGAGGGCCCCGCGTGTTGTCCGGGCTCCAGTCCCATCAGCAGCTCTGCACCGAGGGCGCCTCAGCAGCCGGACTGTGACTCGCAGAAGGTCACGGGCGGGTCAAGGACAGACCTCGGAAATAGAACCAGCCTCTCTTTCCCAGGCTCCGAAACCCCGTGGCAGGATGTCTCTTTTATGAATGCTGGAGAAACAGGAGTGCTGAACTGCATGGGGACGGGATACCCAGGGCTGTCTCTGGGACATGAGGATGGAGAGATGTGGCTCTGAGCAGGGGGGAGTTTTTATTTTAAATGAAACGAAATGTCTGTCTATTTATTTTGAAGGGAAGGGGCAAGTGCTCAACCAGTGATGGGGGGAGTGAACTGAGTTCTCCAAATGTTAGTAAAACAAGGAGAAGGAATCTTTAAACAATGATACAAGTGAACTTATATACAAAACAGAAATAGACCCACAGACAGAAAATAAATTTATGGTTCCCAAAGGTGAAGGGGAGGGCATAGGAGTTTGGGATTAGCATATAACTCTACTATGTATAAAATAGATAACAAACAAGGACCACTTAAAGCACAGGGAACTATTGTCAATATTTTCTAGTAACCAACAAGGGAAAACAATCTGAAAAAATATCTTTATCAGTTCAGTTTGGTTCAGTCGCTCAGTCGTGTCTGATTCTTTGTGACCCCATGGACAGCAGCACGCCAGGCTTCCCAGTCTACCACCAGCTCCCAGAGCTTGTTCACACTCATGTCTGTGATGCCATCCAACCATCTCATCCTCTGTCATCGCCTTCTCCTCCCACCTTCAGTCTTTCCCAGCATCAGGGTCTTTTCCAAGGAGTCAGTTCTTCGCGTCAGTTGACCAAAGTATTGGAGTTTCAGCTTCAGCATCAGTCCTTCCAATGAATATTCAGGACTGATGAAAGGAAATCAGTTTTACACCAATACAGTATACTAATGCATATATACGAAATTTAGAAAGATGGTAACGATAACCCTGTAAGCGAGACAGCAAGAGAGACACAGATGTATTGAACAGTCTTATGGACTCTGTGGGAGAGGGCGAGGGTGGGTGATATAGGAGAATGGCATTGAAACATGTAAATTATCATATGTGAAATGAATTGCCAGTCCAGGTTCGATGCATGAGACAGGGTCCTCGGGGCTGGTGCACTGGGATGACCCAGAGGGATGGGATGGGGAGGGAGTTAGGAGGGGGGTTCAGGATGGGGAACACATGTGCACCCATGGTGGATTCAAGTCAATGTATGGCAAAACCAGTACAATGTTGTAAAGTAAAATAAATAATTTAAATTAAAACAAAATAAAGGAAATCAGTTTTAAAGGATTGATTGATTGATTTGATCTCCATATATATATATGTGTATATATATATATATATATATATATATATATATATATGTTTAACTGAATCGTTTTGTTGTACACCTGAAATTAACACAACGTTGTAAATCAACTATACTTCAAATAAAAAAGAAAAAAGATAAAAAAACAAGGAGATGGATGAGAGTGACCTTCTTAGGTGGTGTCACAGAGCAGAAAAGGTTTGTTTGAGCCCTGTCCTGTCCATTAAAAATAAAACACGATCCATGTGTGTAATTTTAAGGTTTTTGCAACCCCATTAAAATAATTAAAAAGAAAGAGGTGAAATAAACTTTAATAATGTATTTACTATAATACATCCAAAATAGTACTATTTCAACATATAACTGAGCTTCACTGGTGGCTCAGCTGGTAAAGAATCCGCCTGCAATGTGAGAGACCTGGATTCGATCCCTAGGTTGGGAAGATCCCCTGGAGAAGGGAAAGGCTACCCGCTCCAGTATTCTGGCCTGGAGAATTCCATGGACTGTGTAGTCTGTGGGATCACAAAGAGTTGGACACGACTGAGTGACTTTCACTTTCATTTTCAACATATAGCCAATATAAAATATGGGTGAGGTACTGTGCATCCTGTTCCCCTATGTCTTTGAGACCTGATGGGTGTGTATTTATACTCACAGCACATCCCGATCTGGAAGAGCCACATTTTACCTGCTTGGTGGCTGCATGTGGTCAATGGCGTTCAACCTAGACAGCAGGTCGGCTTGTCCAGCTGGCCAACTTTGTGGTACTGGGCCAGTTACTTATTCTTCTTGGACCCCAGTGTTCCCTCTCCCCCCATTAAAAATGGGAATCGCAGCCTCTCACCATACTGCAGTGAGGTCACATGGGTAAAGCAAGTGGTGTGTGTTCCTGGCCCATGGTGAACGTTCAGTTAATAAACAGGTGATTGGCTCCTCACACTGACCTGCATCCCAATTAAATTCTAAGCTCCCTACAGGAGACTGAAATATAACTTGATCTCTGCAAACTGCTGCTGACCTTCTCTCTTTCCTTTCCTTCCACTGACATTTTCTTTTCCCTGAGGTTCTGCCTCACCTACTCCTTTACCTTCTTCAGGTCACTGTCAGAAAGACTTAATCAGAGAAGCTTTTCCTCAACACCATGTCTATAAAGCAGTAGCCTCGCTGTCAATCCCATCTTACCTGCCTTCGTTTTCTTTAGAGCACTCCACACCAACACCAGTCACTGCCTATTTGTTTGCTTCTCCCAACTGAATATTAAAGAAGCTCTGCTTACTATTTAATTTCCAGCTAAATATGTTATTGGATGAGTGAATGAATATATTGAACATCCACAATGCTTTGCCCTTCAGTTCAGTTCAGTTGCTCAGTCGTGTCCGACTCTTTGCGACCCCATGAACCACAGCACGCCAGGCCTCCCTGTCCATCACCAGCTCCCGGAGTCCACCCAAACTCATGTCCATTGAGTCGGTGATGCCATCCAACCATCACATCCTCTGTTGTCCCCTTCTCCTCCTGCCTTCAATCTTTCCCAGTATCAGGGTCTTTTCAAATGACTTAGCTCTTTGCATCAGGTGGCCAAAGTATTGGAGTTTCAGCTTCAGCATCAGTCCCTCCAATGAACACCCAGGACTGATCCCCTTTAGGATGGACTGGTTGGATCTCCTTGCAGTCCAAGGGACTCTCAAGAGTCTTCTCCAACACCACAGTTCAAAAGCAACAATTCTTCGGCGCTCAGCTTTCTTTATAGCCCAACTCTCACATCCGTAACATGACCACTGGAAAAACCATAGCCTTGACTAGACGGACCTTTGTTCACAAAGTAATGTCTCTGCTTTTTAATATGCTATCTAGATTGGTCATAACTTTCCTTCCAAAGAGTAAACGTCTTTGCCCTTAGTGTGTAGCATAAAAATGAAATGCAGTTCTTGCTTGATGAGGGATTCAAAGGGAGATACAGGTGATTGCAGGCCCTTCATCAACCCTAAAATCTGGCTGAAGCCTCTGCCACCCTGCATGCTACCCTGGGCACACAGCCCCATCTCTCTGCCCTCTCCCACCTCTGAGACTTGCTGTATGTTGCCTGCTCTGCTAGAATTCTCTTTTCCTCATCTCTGCTTACCAAAATCTCACGAGTGAGTGAGTGAAAGTCACTCAGTCGTGTACGACTCTTTGCAACCCCATGGACTATACAGTCCATGCAATTCTCTAGGCCAGTATACTGGAGTAGGTAGCCTTTTCCTTCTCCAGGGGATCTTCCCAACCCAGGGATCAAACCCAGGTCTCCCACATTGAAGGTGGATTCTTTATCAACTGAGCCACAAACCAGCTCAAATACCGTCTCCCCTTCAGCGTTCTTTCCAGATCTCTTGATTGAAAACATCTCTGGCCTCTATTTTTCCACTGGATGTTTTCTTTGCTTATAGTATTGATAGCACTGTATTTCATATTAGAATTCCTCAGGTCTGTTTGTGACTTTGCATACTATTTTGAATCTCTAGAGGGCAGGATCTGATTTTACTTGTGTGTGGGGAGGGGAGGGATATATTGGAAATTGTACATACTTTGTAATCAGATGTATTAATACATGAGTTAGATTCCTGAATACTTAGGACTTGTGAGCTTATTAAAGCTATTTAATGTCTCCAAGTCCCAAGGAGCTCATTTGTTAATGGAAGAGCTGTACCCATCTCTTGAGAATCACTTGGACTACAAGGAGATCAAACCAGTCAGTCCTATAGGAAATCAACCCTGAACATTCATTGGAAGGGCTGTTGGTAAAACTGAATTTCCAATACTTTGGCCACCTGATGTGAAGAGCTGACTCAATGGAAAAGACCCTGATTCTGGGAAAGATTGAAGGCAAAAGGAGAAGGGGGTAGCAGAGGATGAGATGGTTGGATGGCATCTCCAACTCAATGGACATGAACTTGGGCAAACTTCTGGAGATAGAGAGGGACAGAGGAGCTTGGCATGCTGCAGTCCATAAGGTCACAGAGCTGGACACGGTTTACCGACTGAACAATGACAACAACATCCATCTCAGGGAAGAAACCTTTGTTAACCTCTAGCCTGTACTGAATGCTTTAGCTGCTGCCAAGATAACAGACATTTTTAGATCCAAGTACACAATAGATGCTGCGTAAATATCAAGCTTGGGACCCTTATATTAACCCAAGTCTCTCATACAGTTGATGCTAATTCAGGCTTATTTACAGAATAAGAATCACTGTGTCGGTCAGGATAAGACAATATTTAAGTAACACACATACTAATCCTTGTCCTCAGCCAATAAAATGTCCATTTCTATTCAAATGCACCTTCTAGAAACTTTCGTTATTGTTTTTAGAGTTCTGTGAATTATCGTGATTTTCCGAGTCAACAGAAAGATACTCAGGCTTCTTCCGTGAAGCCCTCACCTGTGCTTGCGGAGATGTAGATTGTACCATAGTCCCCAACTACAAGGAAGGTTCAGACACGGCTACTGAATTGTCTCTGCCCGCCGTCCTGCTGGGACAGCATGGCAGCATGAAAACCAGGAGCCGGAAGACAGGAGCCTGGCCCAGGCAGCCGCTCAGATAGTGATCCTGTAAGAAGGAGCTGGACTAGAGCAGGATTTATCAGCATCTGCACCGCTGACATTTAGGTGCTGTCGTCTTTGTTGCAGGGAGAGGCTGTCTTGTGCACTGTAGGATGTTTAGCAGCCCCTGGCTTTTACCTGCTAGATATCAGTAGTTTCCCCTCCACTGTGACCATTGATGATGTCCCCTATGGGACAAAAAGGCTGCCAGAAGGGAAGCATTGGATTAGATCATCCCAATTTCTGTAAACTCTAGGACTCGGGGCTGAGATCTTGCACACACATGCACACACATATACACATGCTGCTATTTCCTTGTCTAGCGTTGTTTCACTTTTAAAAGCTGCAATGTTCTGAATCCTGTTTCCTTGCAAACAGTCTAACAGCCAGGCATTCTCCCCTAGGTGTCCACCCTGCACCCACTCACCAGAGAAGCCACGCAGAAGGGCTGGATGGGTGACACGCTGTGATTTCAGTGTGGTATAGCTCCCTGCCAGGATCTCTGAACAATCGTGTCCACCCCCTGCCTGCCACTCAGGTGGGCTCCAGCAGACAGTTTTGGCAGCTGGAGCTGTTACGGTTCTGCACGCCACATGGACGGCTTTGTTTTAGGATCTGAACAAAACTTGCGGCCACAGCTTCTGCCAGCCCACTCGTCTGCTCACAGGCCTCTCTCCTCTGCCCCTGACAGCTGGGGCCTGTGGTGCCAAGTAGGCTTCTGTAGCTACTCGTAATAGAATGGCGCAATCAGACCACAGAGGGGACTAGCAAGTTGGGTCAGAAATTCACATCTCTCTCCTTTTGCTTTTCTCTCTTTCTTAGCTTGACTTTCTTCCCATTTTCAGCTGGAAGAGTAGACCCATAAGGGATCATATTTCTTCATGTTTTTATGTGGTTTTCCACTCGACAAAATGGTTTTGTCCTTGCCAGGTTTTTAAATGGTAAACATAAAAATCTGAGGTCTAGATGGAGGCTATGACTGTCCAGAGTCACACAGCCAGCCTTGTGTAGAAACAGCCTTTTAACAATTCTTGCTGCTTAGAGACTCACAACCCCCTGAGCAAGACAGACATAGAAGCGCATAGGTACAATGGGTGGTGCTGATTCAGTCACTCAGTCGTGTCTGACTCTTGCGACCCCATGGACTGCAGCCCGCCAGGCTCCTCTGTCCATGGAATTCTCCAGGCAAGAACACTGGAGTGGGTTGCCATTCCCTTCTCCAGGGGATCTTCCCAACCCAGGAATCGAACCTGGGTCTCCTACATTGCAGGCCAATGATTTACCAACTGAGCTATGAGGGAATATAGTAAATACTAACATAATTATGTAAGTGAACAACAGGAGCTGAAAGAAAGGAGCAAATAACAGCTTTTGAGAGGAATAGAAAAAGGAATGACCTTTGAGGACCTGGCCTCAGCTAGCTAGTAAAGAATAAGTTGGACTTGGCATGGCAGTGGGGACCACAGGAGTAAAGACACTCCAGCAGGAGATAACTGGTCATCATCAACATCAGTGCTTATCATCATCTGTGTCTTCGTCATCATTGAGCCCATTTGTTGAGCACTTTCTAAAAAACGTCAGGCACTGCATGGGGCACTTGACGTAAATGGTGTCATTTCATTTTCACGCTAGTTCTGGATACAAGCGCTATTGCTAACTACATTTTACAGACCGAGAAACTTAGGCTCAGAGAAGTGAAGTCATTTGCCTGAATATACACTGTTTATAACTGGTAGAACCTGCACTCCAAGCTGCCTTTCAGTGTAGAGTAGGATGAGAGCTTCTAGGATAAGTGGGGCGAAGGACACAGGCAGCATAATGTCAAGCTGGCAAGTAGAATGACGATGTGACAATAAAAAGAAAACTTGTAAGTTTGCCAGAGTGCAGGCATAGCCTAGTGGTTCCTCCTCCTTTCTCCCCACAAGGAGCCCCTGCCTAAGTCCTCCCTCAAGCATTTCTCCAACATGGTGCCCTTGTGCTGCGCTACCACCCAAGAAAGAGGGGGCAAGACCCCGCTAGTTCCTTGGCCTTTTGTTCCCCTTCTGAACACAAGATAGCCTTGAGGCTCAGAGACACTGACAGGTGGATTCTCTGGCTATGCTTCTTTGGGGTGAAGGAGACAGTCCAAAAGCCCTGTAGAAGGGATTCTAATGAGCTCCATAAACTCCCCGTCTGTAAGATATCATCCCGGATAGTCGTGGTCATGATGCATGCCAAGACTTTGTGCGGTCTGTCAACTGATGATGTGAAAGCGAAGCATGTGTTCAGTGGGTGCATGTCTGTGGGAGAGGAGGAGAGACACAGATTCTCGCTTACTGAGTCCCTGCTGTGAGATTCAGGCTGTTTGTGAAGTTAGCAGGCGGGGCAGATACTGAAGTTCTATCCCCAAGTCCCTTCCTGGCTGGAGGAAACTGTTCCGCATTCATTCATTTCACTCTTGCTGTCAACACATACACCTTGAATACCTTCAATGTGCCAGGTGCCAAGTTACAGATGCTTAAGCCTCTCCTCCATTTTACAGATGAGGAAACTGCATATCTAAGAGGCTAAGCAGTTTGTACATGTTCATACCTGTTCACACCACATGTGAACAGCAGACAGGAATGCGAGCCCAGATGTCCTTGGACACCACACTCTTAAGCAAAAACTGCCATGATGTTTGTAAACCCTGACCCAGTCTTCTGATGTGAAATATTATGATGAAGATATGTTAAAAGCATTAAAAAACCTTTTCCTTTGTCTCTCTCTCTCTTTTCTATATATTTTTGCTTCCCCTCCCCACCCTTCCTCTCTCTCTCTCTCTCTCTCTTCCTCTTTCTGTCTCTTTTCTATTCCTTTCTTCACAGGACGCCACAGAATGGAGCAAGAATGAGAGGAAAGAGGCCGGCAGAAAAGCATGAACTGGAGGTTTGCTGAGCTCCTCTACTTCCTGTTTGTATGGGGCCGTATCTCGGTGCAGCCCTCCCACCAGGAACCAGCTGCAACAGACCAACATGTCTCCAAGGAATTTGATTGGCTTATCTCAGACAGGGGGCCTTTCCACCACTCCAGGAGCTACCTATCCTTTGTGGAAAGACACCGTCAAGGATTTACAACCAGATATAAAATATACAGGTAAGAGCTGGGCTAAGCTCACCCTTGCCTTTCATTCACTGAGCACTTTGGGGCGGGGGTCATGCTTTGGCCTGGGCCTTGTGGTGTGGAGGAGTGTCTGGGCCGAGACTGTTATATACTTGCTCATTATTTATTAATTAATTTATTTTCTATTTGTTCATTTGTCTATTTTATTATGATGTGCAAGGGATTATCAATGAATAAGAGTAATATATTTTTGAGTCCTTAATGTGTGCTGGTCATCATGCTTAGGAGTTTGTATACATCTTCTCACTTAAACGTTACAGGAACATCAGAGATAGCTTCTGTTTATTTTCTCCACTTTATATAGAAGGGGTAATTGGGCTTTCACTTGGTGAAATAACTTTTCCAAAGTCACACAGTCAGTGAGTGGTAGGACTAGATTCACACCCTTGTTTATGTGTATCCATAGTCACAGACAGTATTTTTAGTCAGTTACATCAGGTGTAGGCTGTGATGTTTTACAGATACTAGTCATATACCAGATATCTTACCCAAACATATTCATACATTTGGAAACAAATAGGGACACTCAGTGAATAACTCTCTTGAGCAAGTCTGAACTGGTCTTTGGCCTGGTGGAATCCTACTCATTCCCAAAGGACTTAGCCCAAAGTTGTTCTTCTTTGAAACCATCTTATAGATGCTCTGCATCCCACTTGATCAGTCTCTCTTTGATATTTCCACAGCTCTCTACGCTTATGCCTCTTTAGTTGTCAACCATTTGGAATTGGAGTACATTCTTGTATTTCTTTCTCACCTAACTGGAAACTCCATGAGGCCAGGGCTTACATATAATTCATTTCTGGATCCCCAGAGTGATTTTTCTTCTGCCTTGTCTCGTAAACACACAAAAAATGTTGTGGACTAAAATAAATTGAAGCGTGTAGAAAACTCTCAAGAGTTGGGGTCTTTAAGATCAAGGAAGAAAGGCAGGGTCTAACACTTCTGGGCCACTTCAAACAGGAGCGTGAGGACAGGTGCATGGTGGAGGAAAGATACGCATCTGCAGCCGGGAAGCCATGAATTCAGGCCTTGTGTCCACTATGTATTTGACTTGAAAGTGGACATGTCTCCTTTGCCCACCGTGTGTCATGGTGGACTGGGGATGGGTGATTCATGAATCTACTGCCAGCTGCAGATGGCTGTGACTCTGTGCTGAATATTCAAATCTGCATTTGAAAGTATGAGAGAAAGTTTACTTCTGCTTCTGCGTTCAGATTTCACCTATGCTTTTGTTTGGATTCCACTGCTCAGACAGAAGTCTGCCGTCATCCAGCGAGCAGGTTTCTAAGATGCTTTCTCAAAGCTCTGAAATTAAGTACTGAAGATTGAACCAAGGTCACGTGGTTAATTAAACGATGGAGTTTAATCCAGAAGTCAGGCCCCTGGTCATCTAGTTATTTCTTTCTTCCTTTATTTAATCCTCACATAATTAATAAGCACCAGCTAGAGGCCCAGCAACGGTGTTTAAGGCAGATGACACAGTGGTGAGTAAAGCAAACATGGTTCTTGTGCTCCAAAGAGCACATTAATCAGACAGACAAACACACGCACACACGCACACACACACAGAGTGTAAGCGCTGCAAAAGAACAAGGGCGGGTGGGCATGTTTGGGGGATGAGAAACGATGATTTGAGAAGCTATTATGTGCGAGGATTGGGTGAGGCTCCTGTTGTAATCTTCACCTGGACGCACATGCAGATAGACACCCAGAGGTCCGAGTGCTCTTCCAGACCAGGTTTAGACCAGAACAACAGCCAACCCTGATGTGCTCACTGGGGCTGTTACCAATTGACATTTTCTCTTCACTGCTTTGTTGAGACACTAACGTACGTCCACAGGTGATTCCCAGAGTGTCTCCCTGTGTGCGAACACGGACACAGCACGTTAGAAACTTGATGTTTGCATCATGAAGGAAGGAATTTACTTCCAGCTTGTGTCATCTTGTCTGAGGCTACAGAGCCAGCCTCTCTGAAATGTCCTAGACCTCAAGCTTTGTCCAGTCCGCCCGACCCTAGAATCCAGGCTAGAACCCAGGGTGACCTGAGAGCTTCAGCAGGAGCCTGCTCTCCTCACTCAAATGGGGTAAGGCCATCTGCATCCTCATGCATATGCAGACAGAGGGTGACTTCAGCTCATGGCGTCCTGGTGGGGAGTCAGTGCCACTGGCAGTGATGAGACACTTTCAAATTAAATCCCAGCAGAAGTCCTCTCTCCTGTTGCTTCACAAGCTGAGCTATAATCTGTGCACACACAGTTGTTTGGGTGCACAAGGTTCCTGCTCTGCTGCTCCTAAGTCCGAGCTGACATGTGGAGGCTGGGGAGGCTGCTCTCGAATCTGCCAGTGTGCAGTGGCAGTATCCATGATCCTAGACGCAGAGGACCTGGGTGCTGGCTCAGCCCACCCACCTCCCCACTTGGCCAAGAAATGGAACTTCTCTGAGGTTCTGTTTTTTCATCTGTAAAATAGGAGTGTTCACTAAGATGATCTCCAGGGTCCTTCCCTTCTCTGAAATTCTGTGATTCCAGGGAATGTTGTCATTTGGAAGTACCATGGAGGATTGGTGAGGACTCTGAACTTGGAGCCTGCAGACTCAAGTTTTGTTTATTTTGAACCCACTTTCTTCATTCTGGGCGTATATATTCATGCCTCATTCACTCATGCTTCCATCTAGTCCTGTAGACTTTAACATCGATTGTATTCTGTAAACCATGCTATGGTTTGGTAACACAGAGATGACCAACAGAAAACAGCAAAGCTCGCACACATACACACACACACACACACACATCCCACAGCAGCAAAGCTTGCACACATACACACATCCCACAACCTGCAGTGTACATTCACTCCTTCACCACGCTCAGAGTTTGGGGTGGAAGACTGACAGGAAGAAACAGTGAATAAGCAAGCAATTATCATTCCATGGAGAGGTATGAATAAGTAACCACTCAGATAGTCAATATTCTCCTCTGTAGAAAGCGATGATGATGTCTGTCCTACCTACGAAGTCAAATGAGATGAACCTGCTGTGAGATGCTTTGTAAAATTTAAATTTTCTTGTATCTGGGAAATTTTTTCATTGATGTTTGAAATCATCATTCTAAGACAATCATGCAGTATCACTTTCTGGGAAGCCCATACATACATTAGTTGTTAAATACGCACCTTCATTCTGTGAGGGGAATAACAGCATATTACAAATTAGAACACCAAGTCATCAGGAGGTTAAGGAGATTGTCCATATCACTCACCAGGGAAGTGGCAAAGCTAGGAATCAAAAATAAGCTTCTGAGACTCCACAAGTTGGGAGTCATAACCCTCTCTTAGTTCTTAGTTACCTAGCATGTGACCAAATACCCAAAGACTTCCTTTAACCACGGACAAGTTGCAACCTCTTGGAGACTCAGTTTTCTTATCTGTAAAATAGAGATAATATTAAATGCTTTATGTAGTTGTGGCTGGAAATAATTTAGGGATCAGTCGTGAAGAGTTTGGAATGTTGCAGGAGCCACATCAGACAGCTGATGGTATTGCTAGAAATGATTTAGTTTCTTCTCGTGGTAATTATTTTTTTAATTAATTAATTTTTAATTGGAATGTGATTGCTTTACAGTGTTGTGTTGGTTTCCGCCATCTGTCAACGTGAATCAGCCATCGGTATATGTATGTCCCCTCCCTCTTAAACCTTCGCTCTTGATAATTTAAAAGTCAGTTTTGTCTGAAGGGTGTTTCCTGTGTTTCCACTTCCTCTTTGTATTGTATTTTTCTGTTTATCTTTTCCTGATTTTGAGATCGTGAGTAGTTGCTGTAAATTTGGCTGTTCTTTCACAGGTGGATTTAAAAGGAAAATGTGGTACCCTTTGTAAGCTTTGGTTTGGGAGAGTCAAGGTGGGGGGGCACTGATAGTGGTGGTCACTTTGCCACAAGATGTGGTTTCATAATGAGTGGCTTTCCCTACAGGTTTCAGAGCAAGTGGTTTGTGGCTTATGGTGCACCTTCCTTTGAGCCTTAAATAAGTAGCTGAAAGGTGACTGTAAATCAAGTCATTGTGAACCAGGTCTGATTGCCCAGCCGTCTTGCTCATTTATCAGAGTTGGGTGCATTGTCATTCGAATCCACCATCTTAATGGTTGCTTCATGCGTTTCATGAAAATGTCTCTAGTAGGTTTTCGGGAAAAGCTGTTTCACTTGGTGAATGGAGCTGGGGCAGGGTGGCTGGTTCTGCTGACGTGAATGAGCTGTGGTCTTTGTCCAGAAATCATTTAGGAGTGTGCAGTGGGCCCCGAGGTTTGCCAAATGCTGTACGCTGGGGAGCTGATGCTGTGTGAGGTGGGCAGACCTCTGCTTTTGAGGAGCTTACAGACACGGGATGGCCAGGGCGAAGTCCACCACAGCACCAGTTAGGATGCTTGTGGTTGAAAGGAGACCCCCCAACCTCTGGATTCCGGATACAGTTTTGGTATCATGTGGTCCAAGGGTTGTATTTGTATTAGAGTGGCTCCAGATTAGTCTAAATCAGCATTTCTTAAAGTATCTCACATGGAACTGGAGTTCAGTGTGATTTTGAAAGGCATTTTCTGGGGAAAAAATAATCCATAGTCAAATAAATAAATAATAAAAACAGCGATAAGAGTAAGTCAGTTGCTAACTTTGGGCTTCCCACATGGTGCAGTGGTTAAAGAGTCTCCTGCCAATCCAGGAGACACAGGAAATGTGAGTTCGATCACTGGGTCTTAAAGATCCCCTGGAGTAGGAAACAGCAACGGGCTCCAGTGTTCTTGCCTGGAAAATTCCGTGGACAGAGGAGCCTGTCGGGCTACAGTCCATGGGGTCGCAAAGAGCACACGGATGAGCACACACACTCACCACTGAAGGCGTGTGTGGACGTGTCCAGCATGGACATACACTGTGTGTAACTTTGCTAGACATGGGCACACAGTGTATAAATCATTGCAACAGATCGGTCCTCA